ATAAGATTGGCACGTGATGAATTTCTTTAGCACAATCCACTATAAATTAATCAACAATTTACTTGGTCTAGTCCAATATATATCCAGGTGTGTATGTGTTATTATTCCCAAATGAACAATCGACGCGTTCGAGAAAAATCACATTACTTAATTTCTAAAGTAATAGACCAATTAATTCAAATAGCGCCAATCTTTATAAACTGATCTAGGACAAATTATTCTTGATCAAAATATAAGTTATATTTATTTTGTATTTCTCTATGCAACCAACCAAGCATCATCCATAAAAGACCAAGCTTCGCTCTTTTGAAATTCGTGTTGTATATTTGTTACGTTGAAGAATAACATATTATTAAACATGAGAGATTGAGAGTTCTTTTATGATATTAAATCTTATACAATTCAATAACCTAAACATATTGATTAAGTTATTTTCGCTCCCTAAGACGCAAACTATGTTAAAAAGCCACAACAAATGAATGATAACAAAACTTGTTCGACATACACCAATGCAAAACCTGCAAAGAATATGAGTCTTAGGTATTATATAATTTCTAACATATCATTCCATGGCCATTACCCAAATTTGTCTAATATACACGTAGAAGAGATATACGAGTATTAACAACTAGATCTATGCTAGCTACGAGGATAATTAACAATGTGCTATGAGAAATTAGCATAAGATGTGGATACACCTCTTGATAATCAAATTCCGAAACAATTACGGTCACAAGTCATTTTTCATATGTAATTAAAGGCTGAGAGAAAGTATTCCTCTATCTCCCAAATCAAATGTAAACACGTCTATCCTTTCTTGGATTCAAGAACTTATTCGAAGTGTTGCAACGTTAATTCAAGTTTTATCTCTAACTGCAGGGGATGTAAATTTGCAATGGAACACTTGCAGAATACGACACAATTTCTCGATTGAACAAAATTGGTACTTTTTATTTTGCCTTCATTTCTGAAAACTCATTTTTTTTTTCAAAAGGTTGCTGAAGCTCGCTCTAAGATCTTTAAATCGGTGATTTTAGGGTTCAGTTTCATGTTACATTTCTCTACCAAACAACCAATCGAAATGACTTCAACCTACAACAATTAATCGTTTATGGTTGCTTTTCAATCTCACTCATAAAGGACAAGATATTGGTGTTGACTTGCAAGCCATGAAGGCAATAAGAAAACAAGGAATAAGGCACAAGAAGGAGACCAAAATCAAGAAAGTAACCACCGATTTTGAACACAAAGCTGCCCATTATTTTCTCTCCAAAGGCAGCCACGTTCTCTTCTTTTACACACAAATCACACACACATGGCTAGGGCTAGACAACCATATATACAGATATAGGTTATGTTTTAGTTAGACCAAGAAATGGGTTAAATGGACCAAAACTAAAGAGTAATCCATTAAGCACTAATTTGGGTAGTGGGTAACATTAATGTCTAAACTACTCCTAACGATTCACGTTGTTTTCTGGTCAAACCTTTTAGACTTGATTGTTGGTAATCAATTCACCATCGGCCGAGGCATGTAAAAACATATCGACAGCTTACATTGCCTGGGATCTATTGTGTATCAAAATCCAACACAAACTATTTTTCAATTACATATTTTATGGAACCCACAATTTTTATCAACTTTTCAACCATATATTTCTTTTCAATTTTTATCAAAATCTATTACAAATCAATTTTTTATCCAAACTAAACATGGGCTATATAACATATTGCATCAAAATTTTCTGTTTGTTCTTCGGTTTACCTTCGCATGAAAGAGATTCAAAATTTTATGAAGGCTAAAATAATTTATTAACTTTTTGAATAATGATATCTAGCACTACTGATACTTGAACACCAATTTAGGTGTCATCATATGATGAGTTCAATGTAAGATGTAATCGTGTGACTTATTTAGTTGTTCCTCTTATTTAATAACAATTAGTGTCATCTAAACTGGTGTTGTAATACTAAAAAATCTCCAAGAGAGACTATATGCATAATAGAGATCATATTTAAATTTAGAGAGTAAATTTTTTTATGCACTTCAATAATGCTATCCATATTGACTATTTATTTTGTTTTTTCTAATGAAATTGATTTTTCCCATCTCTTATTTAACATAATTTTGTTATATGTTAATGACCAATTAATTCAAAAGTGATTTTAATAATTTAAATTATAGAGTATTAAAATCTGTAATCTATTAAATACAATTATTATTAATATGAATACAGATTGAGTTTGACTCTCCAAATTTGGAGAGCCAAATTCACTCTTTATTTTAAAAAATTAAATTAGAGAGCCTCTTAAAACTTATTTTAAGGGTTAATTTTCCAAAATAGAGATCATTTTGTATTTAGAGAGTTTCTTAAAATGTTCAAATAATGATAAATAATATTACTCTTAACTTTTTTTTCCCTCTAAAATGTATATTCGGCTTTCGGTAAAATTCTATATATATCTAATAAATTGTGTGTGAAATTTTACGAGGTGACAATAAAATCACATAACAAAAGTCTGTCTTGATTATTTCATTAATACTACTCCAATATTGTTGTTACACGTACACAACATTGAGGACACAAATATTTTATCAAATGGTATAATACAATCATTAAAACGACAATCCCGAGGATTATAATCAAATTATGATTTGTGTCCACAAGGACACAAATATTTTATTAAATGGAATAATACAATCATTAAAAAGACAATCCCGAGGATTATAATCAAATTATGATTGTGTCCACGCTTCGTTTGCTTGACACCCAGTTTTGGAGGGGTAAAAATGTCATTTGAGTGCATGTTTTTGGTAAGGCTAATTGATATTACAATGGGTCATGCTACAAGTATATAATCATTTACATAATACATTACATAATTGACATGTGGCTCGCATCCATCGGTAGTCTACAATTTTTGACTTTTCCACACTTCACATCCACGGCTGAATTTCTTTCACATGAATCTGTGTAATCCATTATATACAATAATTATGTATATATAGATTTATCATATTACAATTTATTAAAATTAACTCCTCGTAGGGGTGGAGTGGACTTGTTACGGGTGGTTTAGTGTTTACAAGTTGGTATACGAGTGCTTTCAAATATTATTGTGTTGCTGCCAATTGTCATTTTATTTTAGAATTTGGTATAAAGTGGCCCATTATCCTTTGTTACTTTATATGGTTATTTTTTCAAATGGATTGAATGTATTCCTTCATTTACGTCATCTGAGACAATATCTAATTTACCTTAATTTGTACAAACAAGATCGATATCTCATATTTCAACGGAGTTTTTTAGACTATTCCAAATCAACTTTCAATTTTATCAATCGAACTAGTTGGACTGCATATTGTTCTCCTTTCTTGTCCATGGATTGATTGTTTGATTGATATTTTACAGTAGGAGTGGGCATGATCCGATTCAATTCTAAAGAGAATCCAACTAAACTTGAAATTTTTGGGTATTTAGTAAATGAAACCGTCGGGTTTAAATTTATTTATAGAACCGTTCGGGTTCGGTTCGATTTTATTCGGTTCCGAGATTTCGTACAATAATTAATTTTTTTTAAAATTACAACAACGCTAAATTAATTTGACTATGATGTATTCAATCTTAACTCTTATAAAATATCGTAGTTCAATCTTGTAATATCATTTACACCTTTTTTGTTGAGTTCTTTATAGATTTGACTGTTAAAATTACATGAACGGAAAAATTGCCGGTTCACAATAATAAGGACACAAATATTTTATTAAATGGTATAATACAATCATTAAAAAGACAATCCCGAGGATTATAATCAAATTATGATTTGTGTCCACCCTTCGTTTGCTTTACACCCAGTTTTTGGAGGGGTAAAAATGTCATTTGAGTGCATGTTTTTGGTAAGGCTAATCGATATTACAATGGATCATGCTACAAGTATATAATCATTTACATAATACATTACATAATTGACATGTGGCTCGCATCCATCGGTAGTCTACAATTTTTGACTTTTCCACACTTCACATCCACGACTGAATTTCTTTCACATGAACCTGTGTAATCCATTATGTACAATAATTATGTACATATAGATTTATCATATTACAATTTATTAAAATTAACTCCTCGTAGGGGTGGAGTGGACTTGTTACGGGTGGTTTACTGTTTACAAGTTGGTATACGAGTGCTTTCAAATATTATTGTGTTGCTGCCAATTGTCATTTTATTTTAGAATTTGGTATAAAGTGGCCCATCATCCTTTGTTACTTTATATGGTAATTTTTTCAAATGGTTGAATGTATTCCTTCATTTACGTCATCTGAGACAATATCTAATTTACCTTAATTTGTACAAACAAGATCGATATCTCATATTTCAACGGAATTTTTTAGACTATTCCAAATCAACTTTCAATTTTATCAATCGAACTAGTTGGACTGCATATTGTTCTCCTTTCTTGTCCATGGATTGATTGTTTGATTGATATTTTACAGTAGGAGTGGGCATGATTCGATTCAATTCTAAAGAGAATCCAACTAAACTTGAAATTTTTGGGTATTTAGTAAATGAAACCGTCGGGCCTAAATTTATTCATAAAACCGTTCGGGTTCGGTTCGGTTTTATTCGGTTCCGAGATTTCGTACAATAATTAATTTTTTTTTTTAAATTGCAACAACGCTAAATTAATTTGACTATGATGTATTCAATCTTAACTCTTATAAAATATCGTAGTTCAATCTCGTAATATCATTTACACCTTTTTTGTTGAGTTCTTTATAGATTTGAACTACGCGGCGCCATGTGCCTAGTTCCACTGTCTGTACTATATGTCACCAGGACAATGAAACTACTTTCCATGCTTTAATCCGTTGTGATCGAGCGTTTGCCATGTGGTGCCAAGTCGGTATGGGAAAATTGATTCATGATTTCAAAGGTACAGAATTTTCGGAATTCACACTGTTTGCATTTTATAAGCTCAAAATGAATGAGTTCGAGAAAATGTGTATGACGGCATGGCAAATCTGGAATGATCGGAATGCTTTATATCATGGTAGAAGAATCCCTTCAGTGCAAAGTCAAGGTGAAAAAATGGAAGAATATCTGGAAGAGTTTCAGGCAATACAGCTATCTCTTAAGGTGCCAAGTTCGGAAATGACAAACCAGTTTGGAGTATCTCGCAGAAGGTTCTGGAAGTCCCCACCGACGGATGAACTGATTCTCAACACTGATGCAGCAGTGAACATTGAGGAAGGGGTGATATCCATTGGAGCTGTAATTCGGAACCATCGTGGGGAGGTTATGGGATCGATGGGCAAAGTCATAAATGGAAACTACTCCCCACTCACAGCGGAAATGCTAGCCATCAGAGAGGGACTGGAGTTTGCAGTAGAGAGTGGGTTGGGTGTCAACATTGCAGAAACGGACTCCTTGCTTTCGGTCCAAACCATCAACCTTCATTTTCCGTTCTCCCCTGTGCTGAATATAGCTGAGGACTGCAGAATCCTTTTGGCTCGGATGGGGAACTGCCTGGTCCGACACGCTCCAAGACGAACTAATCAGGTGGCTCATGAACTAGCACTTCTGGCAAAATTTTCTAGGACTGATTTTATGTGTTGTGAAGATGTACCAGAATCCATTGTGAATCTGGTAAACTACGATGTTGCGCATTTGAATGATTAATGAAATTTTGATGTTTCCTACAAAAAAAAAAAAAAAATTACAGGAAGGGAAAAATTGCCGGTTCACAATAATAGTATGGTAGAAATGACATTACAGTAGAATAAGATATTTGAGTAAAACTTAGGTCAATTTGATAAAGTTGGGCTTAGCTGAAAATTAGAAATAATAAAATCATATTTTGGGTTTGAACTAAATTAATTAGTTAGCAATTTATTTAAAAAATAAAATAATTTGACTTATTTAAGATAAAAAAATTTTAAAAATTGGGGAGATTCGGTTCTTATTCGATTATTCAATTCTTAGTCTAAAACCAAGAACCGAATCGAACCCGTCGGTTATGGATTTAGATACCGTTCGGGTATTTAATTTAAGAAGAATAGCTCGGTTCAGTTTAGTTCGGTTCGAGTCTGATTCGATCCGGGAGTTTTGTCCGCCCTAATTTACGGAGAACCGAACCGAACTCAACCCTTCGGTTATGGATTCAGATACCGTTCGGGTATTTAATTTAAAAAGAACAGCTTGGTTCAGTTTAGTTCGGTTTGAGTCCGATTCGATCTAATTCAATTCGGGAGTTTTGTCCGCCCTAATTTACAAGGTGTGGTGGGAGGAACAAACATGAATTAACACTGACATTAACAAGAGAGACAAAGTTATGTCATCAAAACTTACTACAATCAATTAAGAAGGGGCGTGGGACCAAACTAAAACCCCAGAAAAAAAAGGGTCTTTGGGACCCAAATAAACACCAGAGTCACATGCAAATGCAAGTCATCCACATCACGTCTTATACCTCTGTGCCCCCCTCTGCCAATATAAACCCAACTCCCCAAAGGGTCATTAGCCATTATCCGAGTGCCTCATTTCCCCCTATCATAATGTTTTCATGGAGAATTTTGCTACTGTTCTTACTTCTTTGCATTCTTGGAATCGATGTAGCATTCAGTACTTCAGCCAAAATTGGCAAAGGCTACCATTTGATTTCAATTGAAAATGCCCCCAATGGCGGCCTTGTAGGGCTTCTTCAAGCCAAGCAGAAAAATAATATCTATGGTCCTGATATTCCTCTCCTGCAGCTCTATGTTAAGTAAGTTTTTACTCAATCCTACAACATTCATGTGTATGTATGGCTAAATTTCTAAACTGAACCTTAACTCTTTTCACTGTTGTAATTTTCAGGCATGAAACGGGTACCCGTTTAAGGGTTCACATTACTGATGCAAAAAAGCAAAGATGGGAGGTTCCTTACGATCTTTTACCAAGAGAAAAGCCTCCTACAGTGAAACAAACGTCTGGTAGATCTCTACAGAATTCATACACACCAAAAGCTAAAGAATATGCAGGAAGTGAGCTAATATTTAGCTACACAATAGATCCTTTCACTTTTTCTGTAAAAAGAAAATCAAACGGTCAGACCCTTTTTGATTCTAGATCAGAAGAATCAGACCCTTATAGTGATTTGGTATTTAAAGATCAGTATCTTGAGATTTCCACAAAATTGCCTAAAGATGCTTCACTCTATGGTTTGGGAGAAAACACACAGCCCCATGGGATCAAATTGTATCCAAATGATCCTTACACTTTGTACACTACTGACATCTCAGCCATAAATCTAAATGCTGATTTATATGGTTCTCACCCGGTGTACATGGACCTGAGGAATGTGAATGGTGAGGCCTCTGCCCATGCTGTTCTGTTGTTGAACAGCAATGGGATGGATGTGTTTTACAGAGGGAATTCTTTGACATATAAAGTGATTGGAGGTGTTTTTGATTTTTCATTCTTTTCTGGTCCTACACCCCTCTCTGTAGTTGATCAGTATACAGCTTTCATAGGCAGGCCAGCTGCAATGCCCTACTGGGCTTTTGGTACGTCTTTTAACTCTCTTTTCTATGCCATTTCTTTCATTTTTTCAATTTATTTTGGTTAGCATTTTCTTGTTATATTGGTAGGTAAAGATATTTAAGTTCTTTAAAGTGAAAAATGATAAAGATACTATTTTTATTTATTTTGGCTAGAATTTGCCAACTATATTGGTAGGTAAAGGTATTAAGTTCTTTTATTGTGAAAAATGATAAAGGTAGACGCAAATGATATAATGTGCCTAGATAATGATCGAATACTTGCTCCATTGGGCTTCTTATGGAGTATAGCTCTCATTCAAACATTTAATTGGTAACAAGGCTAAGTCCATGAAGCTTCGACATAGCGAAACTCACTCTATTTGCCATTGTTAGTGAAGGATTCTCCAAACTAACGATAAGTAATTGCACTGCGTATAGTTGCCACTATTGGATTCAAATCCTATCACAAGTCTAGGGTCTGTCTATTATATATATTACTAATAATTTTATACTAACGAGGGATTTGTTATTAGTAAATTTAGCCAGTTTGACAACTAATATTTCAAAACTCTTTAATTATCATATTCATTTTACACGTCAGTCTAAATTTTTTTCCTATTTTTTAACCACAGATTCTTGAAAAAATCACTATTCAAAACTCAATTTTCTCAAAATAATGACCAACAAACATGAGCTTAATTTGTACAACTTTCCTTTTATGGATTATGTCTGTTGTGATGAATTGTAATTCTATTAATTCACTCATGAAATACATTCTTTTGTTTCAAATGTTTTGGGTCCTCGAGATTTGTGGCACAGATGCTGTGGATCTATATACTAGTGTGACAAGAATTGGAATCATTAATGATTTTGAGTTGATAATCTAATATAGTCAAGTTGAAATTTTTTCTTGTAAGTCATTTTTATGCAACCCACTAGAGCATGTTTGGCGAAGTTTAAAGGGCTGTCAAGTTTTATTAGTAAAAAAGATAAATTTTTAAAATTATGTTTTACCAAAAAAAAAAAATTTAGAGTAACTTTTACTTCTTTTTAAGCTTAGCCAAAACATACACATCACGATATGTCGATGTTTGATAGTACTTAAGAGTGATTTTTTAACTATTTTTTTCTCAAAAACATGCCAGAGTTGCGTCGGTATAGAATATTTTGGCCAAACATAGGATATTTCTTGATTCCTAGATTTTATTTGAATTTTGATCTTAAAACATGTTGATCTATGATTGAGTTGGTCTTGTTGGAAGCATGCGGGAGTGGGATTGCCTATGTGTGGGCCTTTTTGAAACACATTTCTTGGCGTCTGTAATAGAGATAAACAAAGGTTTGGTGGGTTGGTCCAACAATGTCTGTTTTCATCTCAAGTAAAGTTTGTCTTTGCACATTCCCCTTTCAAACTCTAATAATTCTGCAGTAACAAGTTTTGACTGAAACATCTTTTTCTTTAGTGTATGACCGTCTCACAAATCTATAAGGCCTACATGACGTGATGTGTTCGAAAATCAAGCTTCAAAAGTTAATGTTTTGATCTTTCTTGAAACGAAAGGTTGATGTTGATAAACACTAAAGACATAAAGAGAACTGGGCTAACGTGAGTACGTGACACAACTAGATATAGTGCATATCTTGTACAAACATATACGAGCCTGTAGGAATTCGAAACATGCTTAAACATGAATTATGGGTCAATAATCATCACTTGAAAGAATGAATTCCAAGATCTTTATGTGATTGAATCACCTTGCATCTCAAAACTCTAAAATCTACATTTTCTTGTTCTCCAATAGTCCCAATCTCGATCACAATAAAAGATAATTATTATCCACAATCTAAGCGCATTCTTTTGTGAGTTTTCATGCCAAAATAGCAATTTTAGGGCATTTTCAATTTCATTGTATTTTCACACGCAAATTTCACCATTCTCTTGCCATCTTGTCTCTCTTTTTCTAGACAATAACCATTGGAAGTTGAATGGGAGTTATAGGGAGTTGTAGGTTTGAATTTCAAGTTCAAACTACTCTCCCCAACCCTTTTAATGTCATGTGGGTCTGGATCACCTCACATGGGCAACCCATGGCCCCTATTTTCTAACACTGTCCTGCATGGGATGACTGATGAAAGTAAAAAACCTCTTGAGCGGTTTTGGAGTAGGCACCGTTAGCCCAATTATACACTCTTAGTAGAAAGCAACAACTGGACCACCAAAAAAGCTGTTCCACTGGAACTCTGAATAATTCATTTTCCTTGTGACTATTTATTTCCCCACATGAGGTGTGCTGTCAATCCCTGATCTTAACTACAACTACTTAGTTTTTATTTAGGTCCTACCCTTATAATTTACACTATAAGGACGTCGCTGTCGGCAAGTATATTTTCAAGCTCGAACTTAAGTGTCTAATATCTCCTAGTCTACTTATGGAGGAAGGTGTCGTGACAACGAGTCAATATTTTTACCACTTATACATTTTTTATTTGGGGGCTAGCAATTGAATTTGTTATTAATATTTTAAATTATACGAATTCTTATGCAATCTACCAAAATATTCAGAGGACGCGGATAAAATGATACTCTTAGGTTATGTCATACTTGGCTGCTGGTAATTGTTTCTGAGGACTAAAATATATTGTGCTTTTATATGGAACATAGCTTCCGGCGTTCCAATGTTTCAGTTGAAAACTTCCGATGGCATTCGATCTAAGATCGTTTTCGTGCCACAGGTTTCCATCAATGCAGATGGGGTTACCATAATTTATCAGTAGTTGAAGACGTGGTCGAGAGTTATAAGAAGGCTAAAATTCCACTAGATGTTATATGGAATGATGATGATCACATGGATGGACACAAGGATTTCACCCTTAACCCGACCAACTACCCTCGTCCAAAACTGTTGGCATTCTTAGACAAAATTCATGCTCGAGGCATGAAGTACATTGTCATCATAGATCCTGGAATTGGTGTCAACAAGAGTTATGGTGTCTACCAAAGGGGCCTAGCCAATGATGTCTTCATTAAGTATGAAGGTAAGCCGTACCTTGCCCAAGTCTGGCCAGGAGCGCTTAACTTCCCGGACTACCTTAACCCAAAAACTGTTGAATGGTGGGGTGATGAAATCCGTCGTTTCCATGAACTTGTACCTGTGGATGGTTTATGGATTGACATGAACGAAGCTTCCAACTTCTGTAATGGTCTTTGTACACTCCCGGAAGGCAGGATTTGTCCCAATGGAACCGGTCCTGGTTGGATATGCTGCCTCGACTGCAAGAACGTAACAGCAACCAAATGGGACGATCCACCTTACAAGATAAATGCTTCTGGAATACAGGCACCAGTTGGGTACAAAACCATAGCCACTAGTGCCTATCACTATAATGGTGTACTAGAATATGATGCCCACAGTATTTATGGTTTTTCACAATCAGTTGCAACGCATAAAGCTCTTCAAGGGCTACAGGGAAAACGCCCATTTATACTATCACGATCGACATTTGTTGGCTCAGGCCACTATGCTGCACACTGGACAGGGGATAATAAGGGAACGTGGAAGGACTTGAAGTACTCAATTTCTACAATGCTGAATTTTGGAATCTTTGGGGTTCCTATGGTGGGTTCAGATATATGTGGATTCTATCCAGCACCTACAGAAGAACTCTGCAACCGTTGGATTGAACTGGGCGCATTCTACCCCTTCTCGAGGGATCATGCAAACTACTACTCTCCAAGGCAGGAGCTTTACCAGTGGAAATCAGTGGCTATTTCTGCTAGGAATGCTTTAGGAATGAGATATAAGCTTCTTCCATATCTGTACACATTGAACTATGAGGCGCATACTACAGGAGCGCCAATTGCTCGACCACTATTTTTCACTTTTACGAATGAGACGAGAAGCTATGGATTGAGCACCCAATTCCTGCTTGGCAGCAGTCTAATGGTGTCTCCCGTGCTAACGAAGGGCAAAAGTGAGCTCAAAGTGCTCTTCCCCCCGGGGAGTTGGTACAACATATTTGATATGACACAAGTCATTGTATCAAAAGAATCGCATTTCCTCACACTCGATGCACCTCTTCATGTGATTAATGTGCATTTGTATCAAAATGCCATAATCCCAATGCAGCAGGGAGGATTGATATCTAAAGAAGCAAGAATGACTCCTTTTACCCTCATTGTAACATTCCCACTTGGAGCACATTCAGGAGAAGCCAAAGGGAATCTATTCCTTGATGAGGACGAGCTCCCAGAAATGAAACTCGGAAATGGTTATTCGACTTACGTTGATCTCCATGCAACAGTCAGCAAGGGAATGGTGAAGGTTTGGTCAGATGTTCAAGAGAACAAGTTTGCATTGGAGAAAGGTTGGATCATTGAAAAGGTAACAGTACTGGGTTTGAAAGGAACCGGAGGTTCCATTGAAATCAACATTGACGGAAATCCAGTCGATGATATCTCCAAGGTGGAGTTTAGCGCTGCAGAACACAAGTATCCAAATAAACTCGAAGAGGGTAGTGATAAAATGAAGAGTGTGATGGTGGATGTTAAAGGCCTAGAATTGCCTGTTGGGAAGAAATTTGCTATATCCTGGAAAATGGGAATCGAAGCTTGAGGAAACATGATCGTTATAAGTTTACATTGCCAGTCGTTTTTTGACATTAAATGTCAATCAAGATTCAGGATGGAGGGGAGATGAGATAAAGTTATACTCGTCCCTTTCCATGTAATCAGGCAAAGTAATTTCTGTTGTTAAAATTATGTATTCTCTGCAATGCAATGATGCTATCTTTAAGCTTACTTCGATCAAGAATCCAGACATTTCCTTTCTTTTATGGCCGACAAGCGAGAAATAATGTATTTGATGCTGAATTTTGGTGTCACGATCATTCGTTTAATTTGCACGGTTAGGTCACGAAATGGTTACCCCAGAAATTCTCCTACTAGTAGTAGGATTGACATGAATGAACACTTGTATTGCCAAAGGAACTTCTTGCGTTGCATAATAATGCTAGGATTCATCTATCTCTTTCTTCTCCAACTACAAGTAAGTTGTTATCTCACGATACGTGGATCCGCGGTTCGTCTCAAGAATGTTATCGAATTTATGTAATTGATTGAGTTATCCAACAAAGAATTCATTTGTATATCCGAGTAGCTAAACGAACTCCCCCATTCACTTTTTTAACAATCTCATCGGTGTTTGGTTCGAATAAATAAGTCTTTTGTGTGTGTGTGAGCTTTATTATAGAATGGCTTAAAACTTTCTATCGTACTATCCAACTACCTTGCAAAATGAATCTTTTTTTTGCAAGTTTTCAAGATTTGCCTCAAAAGTTGTGCACCTATCAAATAATGGTTAGATTTTATTAAAAATGTAACATTAGGGATATTTCAGTATTTTTCATTTTAAAGTGGTCATTTTGCTAATTTTCACATAAAAGTGATCATTTTCTTAAAACGACAATCTGAAGTGCTCATTTAGAGCTTGTTAGCCCCATTTTATAGTAAGAATATATTTTGAAATAGTAGATTGATGGAGAGTAATTAAAAAATAAGGAAAAATTTTGAGTTTACATGTAATATTATTTTATTGAAAAATATGTGATTGAAAAGAAGATAGTGAAAAAAGTTTTTTAAAAATAATTGAGATCAAACAAGTGCTTAATGATATTTCCCGTTTAAAAGTAAGTGAGGGTAAGACTTGTATCTAAACTATCAATAAAATGACAAATTAATTTATTTAAAATACTATTTCACTAAATAGGCCATTACAAAATTAGCCTTGCGTATGCCTCGACTTTTTGGCCAAAACTATCTGCGAACCAGGAACGGATCCAGGACCGGATTACAAGCCGGGCTAATACGTAAAAAAAATTAAAAATAAATAAATAAATAAATAAATAAATATATATATATATATATACAGAAATGATCTAATGAGCACCGGTGCTCATCTTATCCTAAGCATCAATGAGTTGGCACATTAATTCATTAGTGGATTGGAACTCAGGGCAGGGCAGGTGAGGGCCGTCAATGATGCGGCTCATCCTTTATAAAGAGGAATAGTAGTAAATCTCACGAAATATGTGGATAATAATGAATAATAATTATGAATATAAAATTAAAATTAATGTTTTGATTTAATTGTCTTTATAAATTTATTTACAACAGAGTGTACTTACAAGTTACAATAGTTAAAACGTAATTAGTTTATAGAATAAATAATTATTATATCAACGACCAAGCCCAACAAATTAAATGCAGAGGGTATGGAATTTGGTACGTTTACTCACTTATGAGGAATCTGATCGTTTAAATTGTTTTGTATCTTGGCTGCAGATTTTTCAACTACCCAACAATTTTCAATTCATTTTTGGACTCTACATTAATATCATATAAATTCAAAGTCTATTTTTATTTAAATGCCATCTACGTTAATCTAAGAAATGTTATGGGGAAAAAAAAAACATGTGCTCGACACGATAAAGAAGGTGAAAAAGTTCGATGAAGTCTTTTAGACTTCAACCATGTCGGGGTCGTTCTTAATATTTTAGTAGTCGATGTATGTTTTGATTGTAATTCTATACTAAAGTCATATATGACTTTGATTAATCATTCCAAACGAGTATCGCCTTCCCTTTAAAATCGTAAATTATAAGTTTTGTACGTGTAATCATTATTAATGAGCAATAGGTGTTTAGTCTATGATTCTTCAAATATACTTGCACATCTTAATTACGGTAAATTGAAATCGAGCAACACACGAAGTCAATAAACCAGTGCTTTACTGACACGTGTGAAAGTGGATGAAAATGGACAATTGAGTGGAATATGGAAGAAAAATGTGAAGTCACCTTTAGACAATTCAACGTAAGAAGGGGTCTAAACAATATGAATGGTCTTTGAGATAAACAAGTATTATTATTATAATCACAAAAAAGAAAGAAAGAAGACGAGATTTGATCAAACTTTGATTTCTTGTCTTTGCATCCAAGGAGGACAATGATACTATTTTTACGAGAAATTAAATTGGTAGCAATAGTTGAAAAATTTTAAATTCCGTAAATTCATGATAAAGGGACAATAGCATATTTTTATATTAACTGGACTTTCGTTATTGAAGACATACTTGTTGAAAAAGGAATGGGATATCTTAATTAAGTCTTTAATCTTTGACTATGTGGAGGTTGTCCTCTACATTTTTCATGTCGAGGTATACTTTTGTCATCAAGGACAATTTAGTACAGGATTAAAATTTATTTTTTAAATCGGACCAATATACATATAAAAAAATTCGCATGGTATTCTATCTTTGCATAGTCTCAATCCACAATGTAAGACTTCGCAGGCACCTGAATTGGTGGTCGCTCAACTGTTCGAACGCAATGTTTGATTTTGATTCAATAAAGATATTACTGTTGGTATTCATGAATGTGAGGACAATCTTTATCGCATGCATAAGGAATGACACTTAACTTCTTGTTGCGTGCAGTAGACGAGGAGATCGGATACATCAAGGAGAACTTATGTCATACCTTGAGGTGGATTCGAAGATACCAAACAAGCAATTTCCTCTTGAATGCTTGTTTGAGATACTAATATTAGAATCGATCTTTCCCTAAATCCGAACAAGTGAATTTTTATTGTGCTAAGTAGTTGTCAACATGTACACGGAGAAATATATAATAAAATTTTTATATGTTTTGTAATTGACAATTCTGTAAACAAAAGGACTGAATTATACTATATTTAAAAAGTCAAGGAGCAAAGTACAAATAGTTGAAAATAGGGTTATTAAGTCTAGAGTTCGAGAATGGCAAAAGGAAGAAAATGGCGCGGATTTTCGCTAGACTGTCGCCAAGGTTTGACTCGAGTTACAAAAGCAGAAACATCATCGTTGGACTGTCGCCCCTACTTCACTCGAGCGACATGCTGTTGCTCGACCTTCGCTAAACCCTCGCTCGAGCAACGTTGTTATCCTGAAAATTTTTATTTCGCAATTTAAAAGCTTTTTATCCGGCCAATTCGTTTTCTAACCTACCTATATATACCAAAACACATCTGTACAAAAATTAGAGAGGTTGAACATTGAGAAAGTTTTATCTGTGAGAGATTCATTCTATTTTATCTTTTAACCTTCATCTACTTTGATTGTTTTGGTGAGAGAAACACCGTTCCTATAATTTAAATACCAAACTACATTTCCTCTATATCTGGTCAGAGTTCTGAAGATCAAGGGAATTTGACTGGAGTTCTAGTTTGTGAGGAACAAGGTGTTCTTCGTTGATCTACGGGAAATAGACGATTTCACAAGATTGGGAGTGTTGCAGGGTAGCAGATTCCACGGAGAGCTTTGGCGACGCAGCTAAGGATTGGTGCAGGGGAGCACGGGATCCATGGAGAGCTGTAAGGAGTGCGTCGAGAGATCGGATAGTACGGGCCGTCTAGTCTAATAGACTGTAAGTTAAAATGCAGAAGGTAGGGACGTTTTGTGCCAAAAAATGATTGGTAGGGATGTTTTCTACAATAAACTTGATAGGTAGGGACGTTGCGCACCAAAAAATCAAACGTTGGGATGTTTTCCACACAACCCTTCAAAGGTAGGGACGTTTTGAGCCAATAACCCCATATTTTTATATTAACTGGACTTTCGTTATTGAAGACATACTTGCTGGAAAAGGAATTGGATATCTTAATTAAGTCTTTAATCTTTGACTATGTGGAGGTTGTCCTCTACATTTTTCATGTCGAGGTATACGTTTGTCATCAAGGACAATTTAGTACAGGACTAAAATTTATTTTAAGTCGGACCAATATACATATAAAAAAATTCGCATGGTATTCTATCTTTGCATTGTCTCAATCCACAATGACTTCGCAGGCACCTGAATTGGTGGCCGCTCAACTGTTCGAACGCAATGCTTGATTTTGATTCAATAAAGATATTACTGTTGGTATTCATGAATGTGAGGACAATCTTTATCGCATGCATAAGGAACTTATGTCATACCTTGAGGTGGATTCGAAGATACCAAACAAGCAATTTCCTCTTGAATGCTTGTTTGAGATACTAATATTAGAATCGATCTTTCTCTAAATCCGAACAAGTGAATTTTTATTGTGCTAAGTAGTTGTCAACATGTACACAGAGAAATATATAATAAAATTTTTATATGTTTTGTGATTGACAATTCTGTAAACAAAATGACTGAATTGTACTATATTTAAAAAGTCAAGGAGCAAAGTACAAATAGTTGAAAATAGGGTTAGTAAGTCTAGAGTTCGAGAATGGCAAAAGGAAGAAAATGACCCGGATTTTCGCTAGACTCGAGTTACAAAAGCAGAAACATCATCGTTGGAATGTCGCCCCTACTTCACTCGAGCGACATGCTGTTGCTCGACCTTCGCTAAGCCCTCGCTCGAGCAACGTGGTAATCCTGAAAATTTTTATTTCGCGATTTAAAAGTTTTTTATCCGGCCAATTCGTTTTCTAACCTACCTATATATACCAAAACACATCTGTACAAAAATTAGAGAGGTTGAACATTGAGAAAGTTTTATCTGTGAGAGATTCATTCTATTTTATCTTTCAACATTCATCTACTTTGACTG